TATCAAGAGGTAAACAAGGTGATATCAGGGTTAAACACTTGGTTTTCTTATTTTTTGTTCTGTTTGTAGGAATAGAAGAATATGTTAACTAAAAGAATAGCAAGAAATTGAAACAAAATCAACGTGAAAATATGCAGCCAAAAATGGGAAAAATAGATATTGACTATTTGACTATCAGGTTTTATATGTTCTTAATTTCAAAACTATACGGCCCCACAATCTCTCTGAATGAAATTACACACTTATGCACTATGTCTATTCTATCACGGCAAAAAAAAAACTCCATAACAGTACGGAATAGGACAAAAGCATTCAAAAAGAACAATAAAATATAAGATTAGCATTGACATCAGCATAACAAATCCAATGAAGCTACTTTGTTAAAATAAAAGGTTTTGCCTCCGAAGAGAACAAATTGCTAGAACTTTGGAAGTTTTTTCTTATTTTGATGAAGTAACCAAGTCTCAGTTTCAAAAGACTGAGATGAAGTATTACGACAAGGTAAGACTAAGAAATAATAGGCAGAATTGAACTTCCACGTAGCAGAAATGCCATAATAAATTCTAGTACAGGAAAAATTTTGACACAGAAAAATATGTAAGCAGTAATAGATACNGAAGAATTGAAAGAAAATAGACCAACCTTTATATTTGCTCTCCCGAAGAAAACTCTCTCCTTCTCAAAATCCTCCTTTACCTATGATTGTCCTGTGCAAAAAATTTAATTCACTACCTCAATCTATATATGAGTTCAATCACAGATTTTACATTTCATCAGAAGCAAAGATGACGCTAAAACAAACAAAGTTTTAATCTTTGACTCATTGTAATTACAAATTCAAAAACTATACAATTACATACAAAAAAGTAAGGGGAAACCTTGAAAGTTCTTTAAAGCTTCTTTAAATTTGCTAATCTCAAATTCGCAACACCTCGTCTATAATAACCCTGTATAAATTAGCCAATCTAAACATATCAATAAATTTCTCAAGAAACCAGAAAACAAAAGGAATAGTAATAAAAACTTTTAGTCAAGATAACAGCTTAAATTTCAAAGCATAGTGGAATGGTAACTCAGTATGAGAAAGGCAATTAATCTGGAAACAGAATTCCAGTGTTTCCATGATGAAGTTAATTTGATTCACAATTGTCCATTGTCTTCAAAAGTAAGATAAAAGTGAAAAGCTACTTTTGAAAGAATTTTAATTTTAATAGGAGGGATATACAGAGGAGTAGAGGAAATTTTTTTTTTTAAAATTCCGCTCTGAATGTATAGAAAGTATTTTATTAGTCAAACAAATAATAAGAATATTAACTTTAGTCCATTAACAAATAAAATTGATAAAACTCTAGTATAACATTTATAAAATACATAATGTATAAGGAGCTATTTTAGCTTCAAAGCTTATTCTTTGCTTTTAAATACAATAATGTTTTTGCTCATTACATATAATTCGAGCTCACCAATTTGAAGGTATAAATTAGATCGATATACCAACTCACTATTCTATAGAATCAAGGAATAAAATTGATAACTCTTATCAAGGCATAAATGAATAATGCTTTGTGTCTCCACTCTCCGTCTCGCAAGAAGATATACAATTTAAGGCATAAAGAACATACGTTTCAGGCGTCGGAGGCGGAAGCAGTGGCGGAGTACAAGATGAAGGATGGACTCAACGAAAAGAAGTGAATTTGTAGACCATCCACAGGAAGAAGAAAGCGAGGGCGCAAAGGGTTGGAAGAGAGAACTCAAGGTGGAAGGTTTATTGCCTAGAATAAGAGCAATTAGGGCAATTTTATCCTAGGACAAACGGCGCCGTATTGGTTGACGACGACGTGGCATCAACAATAAAAACTGGCTGTTTTATATGTAGTAGGTTTTAAGGAGAAATTTAAACTAACATTCAATTCTCCAAACAAAATAGTTTTATTTTCTATATTTCAATAGATATAATATGGTTTTGATTTGCCAAATTTCTAAATAATAACGGAAAAAAATTTAATCAATACGAAAACTCAATTTCACAGAAGCACAGTAAAACACCTAGTGTAAAACATTAACTTAAACCCAAAACACAATAAAAATTTATACCTGATAATTTCTTTGGGAAAATTTAGGAAGAATTTAGTTTCAAATCTTTTGAAGACAGCAAAACTGCCACGATGGAATCCCTCAGACACCGGAGGAAAGTGTGGTCAATCCTATCAAAATTCCCAGAATAGATACAATAAGCACAACTAAAAAAATAGAGGTTTTGTAGAGATAAAGAAATAATAGCATCTATATGGAATAAAGTGGTGCCCAAAAGTAATTGGCAAAACAAAATTGAACAATACAACTCTCATGGTGGAATCTCAATACAGTTAAACACATCGGAGCAAGATGTGGTGGATCTTAACAAAATTCCCTAATAAGCCAGACTAAAAAAAAAACAGGTTTTGCAAAGGGATGGAAAAAAAATAACACCTACCTAGAATAAAATGAGTGTCAAAAATTAGCTGGCAAAACAGGATTGAAGTAACTTAGTCCTTTAGTTTAATAGATATATAGTATTTTATTTCTTAAGAGTTGAGGCAACGATTCCAATTCGGCTTGCAGAGGATCGCAAATCGGCTTGAAGAAGCTCCACCGTGGAGAAGGTGATAAAATTTTGGACTATAGAATCAAGGAATGAAATTGATGACTCTTATCAAAGCATAAATGAATAGTAGTTCGTGTCTCCACTCTCCGTCTCGCAAGGAGATATGCAATTTAAGGCATAAAGAACATACCTTTCAGGCGTCGGTAGTAGTTGTGAATGTATGATTAAAATTAAAGTTTAAATGGAAATTATAAGTAACTTATAATTTTTCTCAAACATACTCATTAAGGGTGGCAAGCTTCGGAGAGTAAAGGTAAAGTCACGACACTAAATATGACAGAAGGGGACTGGCATGCAAAATGAACATACAGTTTTTAGCATAAACTCTGGGCTTCTAGTGAAAAATGCACTGATCTAAGTGCCACATTCAAGAGAGGTTTCATGAATTAGATATTGTATGGAAGACAACATAAAGCAGCATTAAAACCAAGTTCTACTAATCCAAATTCTGCTTATTCTCAGTAACATACTATATGTTAAATATGAGGAAGGGAAGTGTATCACATTCAAATGATTTCTTAAAACATTGTTTTTAAGTGCATGAGATTGACTGGCAGAGCATGAAGTACTTAACAAAGTTTCTGCCCAAATAATGCGCAATGAACTTTTGTACATTTAATAGAAATGCACAAACTGAATGCACATACCATGCAGCTGTCACAAACTTGAACTGGTTGAACATTGCCATCTGCAAAAAGAGCAGTTCTTCCTTGTGTACACTTGTCACAGAAAATATCCCCATAGTTTTGATAGGGGACCTGTTGACAAGAAAAGAAATGAAAGAAGATCAATTAAGCTTCAACAGCAATACCTATTGCTTTATAAACAGTGAACAGAAAAAACAAATTTTAACCTTTCGATCAAAAGCACTAAAATCACTTCAACAAGCTGTGTACCTGGCTGCTTCATCACTAACCTAATATAGATAGGAAAAGACATACACACATATAAATCTAAAACAATAGCCTAATTGCAGTAGAATCCAATTTTACATAGAATCTACAGCAATATAATGACTTAATTAATACAAAATCCAGTCTAAACCAATGATCTTTCTCCAAATTATCAAACTTTATCAAGTTCACCCAATCAATGAACCATTTCTTCGTCTCTACTGATTGCTCATGTCCTTTTATTAGAACCGAAGGTTTACTACCTCTACTCATCTCCTTCACCTGTTTACATACATCAAACAAACATATGCAATAGTCACAACCATATCAATGTACGATAAAAATATCTCGTGAAAAAATTAAGGATAGGTTTTATTTCAAGACTTTTGAAACATTTATTTTGTTTCATTTTTATCATCATTTTTATTGTTTTCAATCATGTATAGTCGATCATTTGCATTTCAAATATAAAAGTTACAGAACTAAGCAAGGAAAATGGTAACATTCAAACACCAAACCTGGACTTCAATTATAGACCTTTTGAAGAAAATCCATACTTGTAGGACTTGCAAGAACATAATCAAAATAGTACCCGTTGATTAGACCTTCCAGAAATTCTTCAGTTAATTTAATTTACAAGGTACCGACAAAAAATTGACATAAACCATCAAAATTTTGAGCACACACACCTAAGAAGTAAGGCTAAAACTTCACGTCGGCAATTGTCAATTGAACAACAGAAACAAATAGGAACAATTGCAATACAAAATTAAAAAGAGTCGGAAAGAAAAAAATACGTTTGGGTCGCTTGGAATTTCTTTTGGTAGCTGTTGAATCCGTCGATCCATTTCCTCCAGCACTTGATGATGGAGTATTCGAGTTCATAACTTCACCAGGTAAATAAATGTTTTTCTTTCCCTTGAATCACGAAACAAAAAATAAATAAATTAGAGCCAGAAACAAAATGGAAGGTCAAGAATCAATATAAGAAATCACATAAAGTAAATAATAAAAATAAAAAAGAACCCATCAAACCCAATTCAATTCTTGGTAATAAAAAAGCAAAAAATAAAATCTT